GTCCTCATCTCCTGCTTCTCCAGCAAAAAGTGACTACCTTGGAGCACTAAGGGCCAGGCCACGCTTCCCTCCAAAACCTGCCCGGGATTCCCATTGGCTACTAAATGAGTTCCAAACTCCTGTTCTATCCTTCCAGATGTGCTCATTCTAGAAGACGGAGCCTGTCCTGCTTTCCTGGCCTCTTGATTGATTGCACCCTGGCACAAATCCCATGATCTCATGGTATCCCGCTATGGATTTCTCAAACACCTGAACTTTTCTACTTCATGGTCACACCCTTCCTTGGCCTGGAGCCTCTCCCTGTCTATTCTCTTCGTGATCTACCACATTCATATTTGCAGATTTAGCTCACCTACTCCTTTCTCCATGGAAGTAGAACATGAGCCCTTATGTGCCCAACAGGAGCTCCCATTCATCTATCACACTGTTCCTTGGTGGTACTCCATGGAAAGAGATGCTTATAACTGAGAAACTTTCTCAGTGATTCCTAACTTTCCTTTCCTTGCCCTCAGATCACCTCATAAAGCTCCTCAGGCGATGTGATACCTCCCTGAGCTGGAGAGGCTGCACGCCTCAGCTTTGATTTCCCCGGGAGGGCTCATCAGCCCAGTACTCGTTATCCAACACATCATAACTACACCACTTCATAGGGCAGTAAAATATTACTAATAAATTGACCAATTATACAATTAGCTCCCCTTAATCATGCCTCCCTGGTTAATCCTAGCATCTCTTTTGGTGGAATCTCTCAGTCAGTCTTGCTGATTTTTGGAAGGCAAAATCCAAAAATGATTATGAAGTGAAGGTGAAAAGCTAGCGAGTTTCATGATGAAGGGTGATGAAGCGGATGCTGGGGAATTCTGAATCACAGGCAAGACAAACGCGTGTCAGCAAATGAAGACTAGGTAATTGAGGAATAGCAAATCAAAAATGATAATTAATGACATGATAGGTGTTTCTAGAGAGAATAATTTGAAGAGAACTGATTAAGAGATGCTTAAGGGAAAGCTGGTGGAACCTGTGTGTTCTTATAACTCTCTTTATGATCCCGCTATGAAAGTCAAACAGGAAGTGAAAGGTATTATGTCATGCTGTTATGTAATTTGTTTGGTAAGATTATGCCCACACCCTCCAGCACCACGTGTAACTTTGTTCTATGAATCGGCGCATGGTGTAAATGTAAACTATGTCTTGTTAAAATAAAATGAAACAAATTTATTTTCATGATGTTTGGTTTTATTTTGTAAGATGAAGACTTAATATTTTATTTTATTCTTTTAAAGATTTTATTTGTTATTTGACTGAGAGAGAGAGAGCGCATGCACAGAGAAGCAGGCAGAGGGAGAGGGAGAAGCAGGCTGCCTGTAGAGCAGAGAGCCTGATGTGGGGCTCGATTCCGGGACCCTGAGATCGTGACCTGAGCTGAAGGCAGACGCTTAACCGACTGAGCTACCCAGGTGCCCCAAGACTTAATGTTTTAGATCTTTATCTTTTCTAGGAAGTTTTGGCCCTTATTTATGAGAGCTATTTGAATTTGTCCTTTTCTGGTATCAGTTTTCTTCAAATAGTAAGCACCTCCTATAGTTACTTGGCAGGAAACATCTTGCCGGCATAAACCCTGTCTTCATTCTTATATTTACGGTATGCAGTCCATATTAAAGGGAGACTGAATGAAGGGGAAGCTAGTTAAAATGAATAGTGAATGTAAAAGTTAGGTTGGTTTTCTTTGCTTGGAAGGGTGCTGAGAATGGGATTCTCTTAGGCTTAAGAAAAGAAGCCTTGCCTTCCATAACCTTGGCTACCAAATAAAGAAAAGGACACTTTTTTAATGTCTATTTCTTACATTTGTTGTATGTTACCAGTTAAAATTCCTCATAGTCAGCAGCTCCTGGGTGGCTCAGTCAGTTGAGCATCCAACTCTTGGTTTTGGTTCAGGTCATGATCTTAGGGTCATGAGATTTAGCCTACATTGGACTCTGCACGCAGCAGGGAGTCTGCTGGAGATTCTCTCTCTCCTTCTCCCTCTGCCCTTCCCCCGACTCGTGCACATGCACGACCGTCCACGCATGCAAGCTCTTTCTCTCTCTCTCTAAAAATAAATAAATAAATCTTAAATAAAATAAATTCTTCATGGTCAGGATCTGTGTTGTGTTCTGAATATTTGTGTTCCTGCTAAATCCATATGTTGAAAACCTAATGCTCTATGTGATGGTATTAGCTTAAGGTAGGGCCTTTGGGAGGTACTTAGGTCATGAGGGTGGAGCCCTCATGAATGGGATTATTGCCTTATAAGAAAGGCTCCAGAGAGCTCACTAGGCTCTTCTATCATGTGAGAACACAGCCAGAATGGGCTGGCTATGAATCAGGAAGGGGACCCTCACCAGAGAATGTGACCATGCCTGTGCCTTGATCTTGAACTTCCAGCCTCTAGAACTGTGAGAAATAAGTTTCTGTTGTCTATAAGCTACCCATTCTGTGGTATTTTGTCACAGCAGACCAAAGGGACTAAGACAGTCTACTTTGTTTTAATCTTCACTGTGCCAGCAATGCATTATTCTATATGTAGGACAGAAGATGCTCCAGGCGGTGACTAACTTGCTTGGGCAAAAGGGAATTACTCAGGTAAGCTCATGGGCACAATCTCAAGATTTGAGAAAGGACAGAGAATTCTAGTTCTTATTTATTTACTTGGGAAAAGGAGGTATCTACATTTTATGGTTGGTGCATTAGGATAGCTCAATCTCTTTGAAAGGAATGTTTGTTTCTCATTACCAACCCAACTTCTATGCTTTGAATTTTTACCTGAAACTAGTAGCCAGCTTGAAGACTTCCAACCATGACTTCATTGCCAGGTGTAGGTGTTCTCTATAACTGGGCTGATTATTGCACATAGCCAAATGGGCCGAATTGCTCCAAGGTTTATATGCACCATAAAATAAGATGTTTTCTTAATATTTTACTAGGGAAAAATTCAAACAAAACCAAAGTGGAAAGACTAGTATAGTGTCTACATATTCATCACATAGCTTCAACTATTCTTAATACTTTGCCACATTTGCTTCCTGTTACTCTCCCTTCCTTTCTTTTCTTTCTTCCTTAAGAAGTGTATTCTATTCATTTATCATTCCATCCTCACTTCCGAAAAAATCAAGATCAGTTATGCTTTAGAAAACCCATGTTTTAGAATTTTCTGCCTGATTCCTTGTAATGTTATTTACCTTGATTACAGTTTTGCTCTTTTCTGGAGAGGAGGTGTCAATGTGTCCTTCATATTGCATCATTTTATGAGACGCACAATGTCTGTTGTCCTGCTTTCCATGATGCTAAGACAGTCTGATCTCTACATTATGAAATTTCCCACCTTCATCAAATGGTTTCATCCTTAATGATCTTTACTGAACCTATTTTCTTTGGTTTCAAAATGATGATTTTTCTTTTTCTTTTTTTTTTAAAGGATTTTCTTTACTTATTTGCCAGAGAGAGATAGAGAGAGACAAGAGAGAGAGAGCACAAGCAGGAGGAGTGGCAGGCTCCCCGCTGAGCAAGGAGCCTGATGCGAGATTATCCTAGGACCCTGGGATCATGACCTGAGCTGAAGGCAGATGCTTAACCAACTGAGCCACCCAGGCGTCCCTCAAAATGATGATTTTTCTAATTTTATCATTCTTTTCAGATTTATTAACTGAGATTCTTTTCGAACAAAACTTTTCCTTTATCAGTTGGGGCCACTTGATTACCCTGAAATGCAATTCTTACAGGAAAGGCAAGATAAACACTCAATTCTTTATTTTTTATTGCCAACTTTTAGTGTAAGAAGTTGGCATCCTAGTTATTTACCAGGTGTTTAATATGGTTTTTCTCTCCTTTGGGCCTCTTCTCTTTTATTTGTGACTATCAATTCAAACATTTAAAAATATATGTTAATGCATTTCAATTACATTCATTATTATTTTAATTAAAATTGTCTTATCTTTTGTCAATGGAAGCCCCTTCATGTTGGATTTGGTTTCCATTTAATATGACCTGAGATTCCTTGGTAACTTCTTTCCCTTCTGGGACAACAGGATACTCCAGGCTCATCTTGCATATTTCCACCTGGACTGGAATCGGCCATCTCTCCAAGGAATTCCCTTTGGTAAGAAATGATATTTAGACTTGACAGTCAGAGCTTTTGGTATGTTAACTGCACTTGGGTTTTTATTTATCTTATTCTTTTTTAGAGAACATATATGTGAAGCATACATTTTTGAAAGAAGTCATGAGCTCATACTGATCTGTCAAGTAACATGCTTTTTACTTATCTTCTTTCATTTTATATTTATAACTCTTTTCTTTTACACTTGATAGTCTTGCTTCTTGACAGCATTAATGTAATTATGTTTTCATCATTCTGCACCCTCTATAAGATAGTTTCAAAAGGACTGGTAATAACAGGACAACTACAGATTTGACTATTAATGTTTCAGATTTCTTTGCAGTTCTACTTTTCTGTAGACTATGTTCCAGTAAGTGTAGCCAAAATACTGTTTTAAAGACATTTGAAATAAATCTTTTCTTTGTAGTTGTTATTAACTTGGCCTATGGATGGATTCATTCATATACTTATTTTTATTTTTTTAGGTATTTTTGTTATTTTATGCTATATTATTTTCAAAGTCAAATCTCTATCACAAAGTACATGTACAAATCACACATACTTTTCAAATTTTATAGTTTCTAACAATATATCCTGGAAATTGCTCCAATTAGAACATAGTTTAATTTTTCCTCTTATTTTATTTTTTTAGCTTTACAACAGAATTCCTTTTATTTAAAAAATACTTAAATCACTATCCCACAAAATGTTCAGAAACACAGGTAACTATAGAAAGTCAATGTGCATATACTGCTTTTATTATTATAATTATGGTTGTTAGCTGAATGAGAACAAATAATAGCTAAAAAGTTTTCAAATGATAGAAAAACACATTTGGGTAAGTTATGACACAATTTTTTGAGTACGTAGACAATAGAAATGTATTTTTTTTTCACCAATTGCAAATGCAAAGTTAATGATAAAATCAGGGAGCTGAAAGGTCGAAAGGGACCTTAAACATATTCACTATCTTTTAAATTTTAGACAAAGGAGCTGAGAATGTAGAAAAAAAACCCCCAACATTTACACCATAGCAGTCTTTTTTTTTTTTTTATGACTTCCAATTTTAACTCTTTTCTAAAAACACTAGGGGCGTTGAGACCCTTATTGTAGATTATGTATCATCTCCTCTTTGGCTATGAGGTGTGTAGTTTTGTTAACGAGAGACATCAGTGAGTTCAGTTTCTGAGACCAGTCATTTAATAAATTATTTGGATCCTTGGGTCTCTGGAAGTCGATAATTCCTGCCAACCTGTCTACTTTAGCAAAGATGGTCTTGTTAACTACTAGATTAGAAAGAAAAGCTTCTGACTCATCAACAGACAGATTGAGAAGCTGAGCCATCCTCTTCATTGTTATCCTCGTGTAATACTTGGTCATTACTCTAATATTATGTCCAACAACTCTGTTCTTCAAGTCTTTCCACCTTCTTTCACCTTCCTCTATAGAACCAAAAACATCAGTTGCCGGACTCTCAAGAGACACTTTTCTTTTTTTTGTTTTGTTTTGTTTTGTTTTTTTCAAGAGACCCTTTTCTTATGGAATATTCCATAGTCTTCAACAAGTGTGGACCAACGCATCAGCTCCATTGTGGTAAAAAGCTTTAAAAGATCCTTGTATTTAGGAATTTCTTCTAACTTCTTGTCACCACTTATTCGGTGAACCAAATCTGACTGTTCGTTGTCAAAAGGAGCCAAAATCACATAGAGGATAAACTTTTCAGAGCCTGTCGCCACTTTTCGCTTTCTGCCTGTATAGAGGGAGTACCATATATTGCTCTGTAGTGCTTACAAATAGACAGATAAGATCCCTCATGTTGATCCAGCTGAATCATTAAGTTATAATATTTCAATTTTAATTTCTCTGTATTTTCTTCCTGGTAAAACTTGGTGTTAATTTTCTTGCTGATGATTTGTGTACAAATGTAATCCTTCACAGCTGGGCAGAGCCTCATTTGCTCCAAGATAAACTCCACTCTCTCCTTCTTTTCCATTGACCGGTTGGTTTCCACCTGTAACTCCTGTAAAATGGAGGTGGCCTCTTTCACATCACCATTTTGCTCTTTTATAGTTGCTAATGTTTCAGTCAGTCAAGCACGCTCAATTTCAACATAAATCTTTTCTTCTGTAACCATTTGTAGAGTATCAATTAATTGAAGTTTGACTGGAAGGTCTGTGATTTCCTCAATGTAAGTACAGCACTGTTGAACCATTTTTGCAACAGCTTGTTTTAACTGACTCCATCTTTTTGACAAAAGAATAATATTTTCATTAAGTAAATCCCATTCTTTAGCCTCATAGCACATCTTCACTACTGCAACTAAGATGCGGGATGTAGACACCATATCAGAAGCAGTGTGGGTCTGTTTCTCCAAAGAGAGAAGGGTTTCAATGACTTCTTGAAGTCTTCCTTCCTTTGCCAACTTCTCGCACTCGGGCAGTCGCTGATCCACCATGGCGCTGTAGTCCCCCTCCATCTTGACGATGCGCCCATCAGCCCGCTCCGAGCCGCGGTCCACCATGGTCCCTGCCTGAACGTCCCTTGATATCCCCTTGCTTCGGCCCTTCCTCTTTTATTTTTAAAGCTGAATTATGCTCCATCGTGTAGCTATATCCTAATATATTCAACCAGTCCCTTACTGATGGACATTGGGCTGATTCTAATATTTGTTACTATAAGTAAATGTATAATGAATAAGTTTCCTAAATATTGCTTCATATTTTGGAGGTGCCTCTTCAGGGTAGATTCCAGGAAATGGGGTTTCTGGGTCAAGGAAAAAATGCAAGGATAAATTTGTTGGCTATTAAGTCCCACCCTATAGAGTTTTTCACCTATCATCCACGCCTGAGGGCTCCTGTTTCTCCACAGCCTCCCCAACAAAGAATGTCATCAAACATTTAGATTTTTGTCAATGTTCTAGGAAAGAAATGCTACCTCAGTGTGCTTTCTCTTATTGTAAGGGAGGCAAACCATTTTTTCATGTTCATATGCCAACAAAGAATGTGGTCAACTTTGGGGTTTTTTAGAATAAAACACCTAATCAAACTTACCATGTAACCTGCCAATTTGAAAACTTCAATTTATTTTTAGGTTTAAAAACTTGGTAGCAAGAAAAGGAAAAGATGAGAATGAATTCCAAGTTCCTTTTTTCTATAATTATATTGGGGGTGCTCCCTCAGATAATTAAATCTCTCAGTGTACCCGGCAATGCACAAGGAAGAAACTCATTGTCATGGTCACCACAATGCCCTAGGGAAGCAGCCAGTAGCTCCAGATGGCTTAGGGCCAAAATTTGGGGTATGCAGAACAGCAGCAGGGAGAAAACAAAACAAACATTTTGCAAATCAATACACGAGAAAGTGATTCAAACACTAAGCCCTGGTGCACAGCTCTGAGCTTTAGTGAAACAGGATTCTAGTCCCCATCCGCACAGTCTAAACTGATTCCAATACGGATTCTAATGGAAAGAGAAAGTTCCAAAGACTCCATTTTATAGATGTTTACAACATCAGGATCTCTGTGTTAGAAGAAAAATATCATTTGGTGTGAACTGTAACATGTTGAAGGAACAAAAATGCAGCGCTTCCTTTGTGAAGAATCCTTGTCAGAAACCTCTAATGGAAGAGCAAATGATTGAGGGAAAAGATTAATTTCTTTTTGATATTAAAATTATACTTATTATCAAGGCTTTAGATGACTAATCATAAACTTTAGATTGAAATTGACAAATGATATCCTAACCTAACTCCTTCAGTTTTTTGGTGTGATTCACAAAAACATCACTAGAAACCTAGGGCCAAGAAGTTAACCAGAGGAAGAAAGAGATTTTTTTTTTGTTTTTAAATATACCTCTGCCAGAAGCCTCCACACGCTCACAAATGAGTTGTTAAATTTATCTCTTGACCTACAGGCAACCTTACTGGAAATTGAGATAACCACAGGCCAGTTTCCATTTGTCAAAATTTGGTTCTTTCCCTTAGTGTTTTTCCCTGGGATCAAGGGTCACTTCAGAGGCCTTGTACAACTTCCACATAACAATTAGAACATAGAAACCAGCCCTTGGCAGGGACTTTGACTGTGAGCCTTGTGTCAGACAGAGGCTAAGAGAAATATTAAATGTATGGGCTCTAGCAGGCATTAGGAACCCGAGGACACATTTCCAAGTGACTGGAAAATGCAATAATCAAGCAGAAATGAGAGTGGGTTGCCAGGGACTTAAAAATAGGCTTACAACCTCACTTTATTTCCACAGATATTTAATAAGCACCGGGACTAGAAGAGCCTGGCAAAGTAGAGGCACTCAGTAAATATTTGTTAAATGAGTAAATGGCTGTGAAATCCTGGAGTAGACTTTACAGGAGATGAAATCTAGCTCTGACTTTATTTTTCTCATATGTGTGCCATATTCATGTGCCTTCTTTATTAATTGCCGGTTGACTTATTTCACTTTTCCTTGAAATTTCATATTAAAATGCACTTCTTCCAATACATTTTCCGATGGATTCCATGAAACAGACAGTATCCATTAGCCACTATGTAGTCTTCATCTTATATTGCTCTTTATTTTAAAGAGTCAATTTTATAATAATCTAGGGTCTTCTAAACATATAAGTTCTGGTTGTTTACTGGCGACTTGGAAAGACGCACTAACACAAGAAATCATTTTCCATCGGTATGGAGATGGTAGTATTAGTTTGCTGGGGCTGCCATAACAATACCATAAACTGAGTAGCTTAAACAACAGAAATTATTGCTTCTCAGTTTTGGAAGTTACAAATTGGAAATTAAGATGTTTTCAAGGTCACGTTTCCTCTGAGCTACCAGGGAAGGTTCTGTTCCAGCCTTCTCTCCTAGCTTCTGGTAGTTCCTTGGCTTGTGGCAGGATAATTTCAACCTTCATGTGATGTTCTCCCTGTGTGTGTGTCTGGTCCAAGTTTCCTCTTTTTAAAAAGTAGACCAGTCACATCAGTATGGGGCCCACCCTACTGACCTCATCTGAACTGATTACATCTGCAACAATCCCATTTTTTCAACCAAGTTCACTGTCTGAGGTACAGGTGGGTGGTTAGAGCTTCAATCTACATATTTTTGGCTGTCACAAGTCAACTCGTAACAGAGATCTTAGTGGTGAGATCCTCAATGGAAATTAATGAATTGCTATTAAATGCATGAGTACAATCTTAGGCTGATAGAGCTTAATGTGGGATTTATAGAACCCATTATCCTCTCTCATCATCTTGTAAGGTGGACATGGCTGAGGAAGCCTGTCAATATGGGAATTTAAGAGTTAAAAATTGTTCTTTTTTTCTTATTTCAGAAGAAGGCTTTTGAGAGTGTGCCAATAAGAATAAAAGCTGTATCTTGGCCTAAAGAAAATTATCTTATTGGGATGCCAGAACACATGATTAGAGTTTATGAAGCAACGTATTGGTTAAGTGATACTCTTCTGATCTGACAGTAAAAAGGATAGATGTTAGATTGCCATGATTATAAAAATTTAAAAGGAGCTATTGACCTCCTAGATGACAAGCTTCAGAGCTGGATAGACCCTCTCTCTCTAGTAAAACCACCTTTTAACTGCTAAAAATTATTAAACAAGACAAAACAAACAAGAAAACCTCTTAAAGTCTCTGAAAATTGTTTGGAGGGACTGCATCAAATGGAAAAGCATCTATTTAAGAAAATCTACTAAATCTCTGTAAGAACAGCACGGCACTGTGTTATTGAACCATGAGCTGCTCACATTCATTCCTGCCTTCCCCCAGCTCAGTGTGGCAGAAGCTCTATTCTAGGTGGTATGGCTAAGAAGAGGGGGTTCCCTCTCCTTCTGCCTTGCAGCCTAGATATAGAGTTTTGCCATAGAAGGGGCATGTTACTGACATCCCTCATCACCCCAGCTTCCAGCTTTGTACTGCAGAAGCTCTAGTCCATGTGGATACAGCCAAGAGGACAGGTCTCCCTTCCCCCACTGATTCCACACCTGTAGAGTCAAAGTTCTAATCCAGACAGAGCTGGCTGAGAATGCTGGGCTCTGGGCTCTCTCCCCTCCCCAGGCTCACTCATAGGCCAGAAGATCCATGCTGGGAGGGACAAGCTGAGAAGACAAGGTACCACCCCTACCCAGAGCCCCAGTAATACCACCAGGGTAGCCTTCTGAGAGAAGTGGGTTGCTGATGCCAGCCCCAGCTTTGGTACAAAGGCAATATGGCTCTCCTGGGGGTGGGGGGGCAGGCATGAAGAGCAGAAAACTCCAGTGTGTCTGTGTAAAGGGGACTGACTTTACCAGGAACATAACATCGGGAAGTTCTTGACTAAGGGCATTGTCAAAAATAGTGGAGATCTTGGTGGTGAGCAGTTAAGAAGGGGAGCCATGGTACTTATAGCAAGAGTGAAATGGTAGGTCAGCTAGAAGTTAAACAGAGAGAACCAAGGAAATAGACTGCTGAGAAGAGAGCCCTCTTGTGTTGGCAGTGCCCTGCCCCTAAAAACGGGGTGCAACTGAATAGGATCAGATATGGGGCAATCTATGCCACAGGGTGTGGTCAAAAACAATAGAGTACTCTGCTAGTAATTAGTGGAGGCTAACGGCCAGTCTTCATACCAAGAGGGGCAGACCAGCCAGAAGCCTAATAGGGAGATCAGAGAAAGAGACCCAGAAAACCCCACTAAAGCCACTCTGAATTTGCCAAATTAAGACCAAGATTTGAAGTCTCTGACCTGACATGGTACTTTATGCAGTATATAGTGCTGGCAATAAGATATTTGCTATGTGGTATATGTTAGATCTGAATTTTTTTGGAGGGAGGAACTGGGATATACAATATATGTTATAATGAAATTTCTTCCTAGGAAAGAATTGAAAACCAGATGTGTTAGAAAAAAGAACCCTATCGATTCAAAATGAGGTGCATTAATTTCAATGGCTTGTACTTGCACATCCCATTGTGAAATACGGGGATCCAGATCTTTTCCCATTTATCCAGTTGTATACCTGTTTCTTCTTTGCTACTATATACCCCCTTGATATATTAAAACCAAATTGCTATAGAGGCAACAGGAGTGGAGTTACCTTCACTTTCATTTCTGTCAGTCATGGGTAAGACTTCAGCAACACACGAAACTTCTTATTGAATCAGCAATTAGAAAAGAGCAAACACATTGAGAAGATGTCAATCTGCTTGGCCAATATTTGAATAAGTGCCTTTTCGGTTCAGCTATATCCAGACCATTAGATGGGATTTTTCGAAAAAGACTTTGTGAGGTGTGCTAATTGGCTTCTGGAGACAAGCAGCTGCGATGAAAGATCAGGGCCAGAACTCCCTTTGCAGGGACAGTCAGGCTTCCTGCATCCAGTGTGAAGGTCACGCCTGGCATGGGGCTCTCTGAGGTAGGCTCAGCGGATGCCCTACAGACTCTCAAGGAACGGTGATGCAATATGTTCCCTGATCCTTGTTGGGGGTCCCTAAGGATTGGAGTTACTAAATTTGTCATCAGGAACGTTTCGGCTCACGTTGGCGATTATTTGCTCTTCCCTAGCCCTATAAAAAGGATAAGCAT